ACTATTTTATACCTCAGGGATGTTTTAATCATGCTTTGCTTATTATTAGGACTGAGGTTCTCATAGGAATCGGCAACAGGTAAGGCTATTCATTTAATTCCATTTCATTATGTTCGAAAAATGAGGTGTATCCATGTCTTTGGTTGAACTAATCAACTTGGCTGCTGTCAATGTCTTCTAACAGCCTGTCTACACTTATTATTATTATTGTATCCTTTAGTTCCTAGAGGAACATAGGGCTTCAGCTTGATGGTTTTCTATTTCCCAGTAAGTTCTATTTGGGAAGGGCATTTCACACCCATGAAGGAAATAAAATCGTACAATTTGCCAGAGAATAAAGCTGACTGATTGTATGTATGCTATGATGGTTCTTTTTTATTTTTGGTCATTCAGATATGCAGTTGATTTTTTCATCGTGTCAGGAGTGGGATTCGAACCCACACCCACAGAGTGAGGTGCGACCTAAACGTAGTGCTTTGGACAGTTCCCAGTAGAAAATAGGGCTTTAAGTTAGTGGCTTGAAGTTTTTGTAGCAGTGTTTTTATTTTTTACTGGATGGGGTTGCTAGCCCCATGCTCAACCTTTCCCCTTTACCAGCATTATTTCTGGCTTAGTGAGGTAAAGGAGTGCGTCCAGTGGCAGGAGATCGAACCCCAGACCATGTGCATGGTCGGCGAGCGTCCTAACCTCTGTGCCACCGACGCACACTTCTGACTGTGTACAACTGATTATACCTCTTCTATTCTAAGTATCCAGGGCATTGTGTGATATAAGAAGGAACAAAAACTGTGAAAAGTTTACAACAGCGATATTATATATAGCAATTCTTATATAGCGTCGGTGGTAGAGCGGTTAGGACGCTCGCCGACCATGCATATGGTCCGGGGTTCGATCCCCGGCCGGCGCACTCCTTTACCTCACTGAGCCAGAAATAATGCTGGTAAAGAGGAAAGGTTGGGCGTGAGGCTAGCAACCCCATCCTATAAAAATTAAACACTGCTACAGAAACTTCAAGCCACTAGCTTGGAGCCCTATGTTCCACTGGGGAACGTGAAGGAAAAATTATTATTATTATTATTATAATTCTTATATACCTATCTCACACACACATCTACAGTCTGTCACCAGTTATTTGTTTAGTTATTCAACCGTATCTGAACTAAGATGGAAGTTATGAATTTATGTGTGTATTTAGACTCAAATTGAATAATAACGAGAAGGCCAAGTCCTTCAGAGGTCTGTTTGTTTGTTTGTGTATTTACCATATACACGTTGTTACTCAGTTAGGTCACACTTCATGCAGTGCAATGAAGCGTGTTTGAATCTTATTCACACTTCATCATCCAGATTTTGCTTATTTGTTTTTTTCCCCGTTGAAGTTTTTGCTTTCATTACAATTTCTTGATGATGATGATGATAATGAGTAGAGTAGAGTAGAACACTCGTTAATTGCTCTAATTTGCGTTATCACACTTTGTGTATACCTCTCAACCTGTCTACCGCTCAACCTTCCAAATCCTATGAATACGAAATCACATTTCGTTTAGAACAAAAATAATCACATAGGTTAATTAAGGTCATTATTTATGGGAATGGTACATTTATTCTCCATTTATTATTGAAAAAATTGATTACTTAAGGACTTGTTTGTCATTCCTGTTTATTATTATTATTAATTAGTTCACAGTTGTTTTATTTCCCTAAACATGTGATAATGAATGGATGAATGATTAAGCCCACATAATGTTAGATCAGTTGAGAATTTAAACTTTTGTGTGTGCGTGTGTGTGGGCATGTGTTTGGTTTTTATTCCCAATAATGCTATCTGACGTCAAAATCCCCTGAAAGGCTTCTTGGTTGTTTTTCTTTTTAATCTGATTATCACTGTGTTTTAATCCCAGAGAGTATGATAAGTCTGTGACGCGCACATGGCTGGCTAGTCTTTGAAACAATGAATTGGACACGAGCAGAGTTTAGGCTTTCTCCTATTTGACTGAGCTATCATCACACACAGGATGTCAACTGTTTTTTTTTATTACAGCTTGATTCCATACCATATTTTTGGTGCAGGTATGGAATTTTCTGCATGTGATATCGGTAGCCCAAATTTTGCAGGCTGCATCAGGTGTGCGTCGGCCAGGGATCGCATGATCGGCGAGAGTCCTAACTACTGTGCGACCGACGTACAATTCGGTAGTAGGAAACTTGAATACACCACCATTTGATACTGTAGCACAATCCGCCCGGGTATTCTTCCTACCTCTGAAAACTGATAATTGTAAAATCTTCACTTGTGTAAACCTACGAGCGCCGCCTACGTTTTGTATTTTTCTACTTTACCACTCATTTCTCTCTGACTTGTTATTCATTTAATAGTAATATTGTAAAATCTGAAAACTTGAATTATTTTTTACAAACTTATTAGTCATTTGGAAGTGTAGCATGCTTCACTTGGGACCTAACTACTCTACTCTTCATCATATGTCATGAGTTTATGAGTGCTCAGTATTAAATAACACTCCTAAGATAGGTCGAAACAAAACTGTTCAATTATTTTTAAGTCTTTGAAGGTTTTGTAGCTGATGATGACGACACTTGCTTTGAAACTGCAATGATCAATTTAGAAGAGTGATCATTATATACCCATTTTTATGATACAGAAGTTGACAAGATTACAAAATCTGGTAGTCATTTATTCGACAGTCTCATTTTATTGTTAGTAAATGACCACAGCATGAAGTTGTCTCGAGTTCTGGTAGGAAGTCGTGACCAATGAGGTCTACAGAGTTGGAAGTGAGTACAGATAATTCTTCACTGGTGACATTGGCTGATAGCGGGGATGTTTTATACCTCTAAATGACAGAAGTGAGAATTCATGGGCTACTACTGGGTTCTGCCTTTGGGAAAAAGGACCAACAGAGTAGCCTCGTAATCTGTGAAGGTTTTGGGTTCGGCTTGTGGGGTTAGGTCATGGTCGAAACAACTCTCCAGTACTCCCTGGTTTCCTATGACTCTTTAATTTGATATCGTTTCTTAACTAACTCTAACTCGACATATATACAGTGCACTGATGAGGATTTAGAGAGACAGCAAGATATTCTTTCGGAATCAATGGATAGAATTGGAGTTAAGGGCTCATACAAAATAAAGTTCGTTTATGCCTTTACAGTCAATTAAATGTGCCATTATCTGAGGTGTTATCATAACAGTTAATTAATAAATAAACATATTTTGATTTGGTTGTGTTCTTTGAGCTACAAATCGCTATTAGGCATTGTACTAGAGAAGTCATACGCCACTTTACGCCGTTTCTGGCGTAGACGTGATATCCGACTATCGACCAAAGGGCGGGTGTACTGCTCATCAGTCCGCTCCGTCCTCCTCTATGGGTGGCTGTGAGACCTGGCCATTGAGAGTGGAAGACATGAAAAGATTAGCTGTCTTTGATCATAGGTGCCTGTGTTCTATCTCCCGTGTGAAGTGGTATAGTAAGGTGAGCAATATTGAGCTTAGGCGTCGAGCTCTAGGTAAGGAGGGGAAATCAATCGACGAGGCTGTGAAGTTACATCGACTGAGATGGTTAGGAAATGTGTTACGTATGCCTAGTCATCCCCTTCGTCGACGAGCAATGTTATCTGATATATAGGATCAGACTGAAAAAGCTAGCGGAGGTCAAACCAAAACATGGCCTCACCAGTCAATGGAATCCACAACAGTTAGTTTAAGCCAGTCATGTAGGAAGATGCAGACTTCCTGACTGGTTAGGGTCCTTGGGACGGTAAAAACCAATGGTTGGAAACAATTGGTGATATGGCTCAAAATCGTTCTCAATGGCCGGCGCAGAAGCATCCACTACTTGTGACTTATGATTTCCAATGAAACTGTTTTGTTCTTCGTTACTGCTATTCCTTTATCTCATACCTCTGTTTACTGTCTCTAATATGCATTTCTTCTACTTTCTTCTCTTGCTTTGTGTGGTACATAGAGGGAGTGTGGCGAATTGAACTGCTGTACATCAGTGCAAAGTTCTATGTCGAAAACAGACAGACTAGAGAAGTAGTCAAATTATTATTTTTCACGTGTTGGTGTTGCAGTCACTTTATTGGTTGCAGGTTTCGTCATGAACAGATTATCGGTTACAGAATCATTCGGAAACCAGGATGTACTAGATAGTTGTCTCGGCTTAGTGTGGGACTTTTGGGCAGTGAGCGCTCACTGGGGTTCGAACCTAGGACCTTCGGATTACAAGGTGAGCTACTGGAAGCTGATCCATTGTCCCACAAGATATATAGGATGACCACTAGTCAATATCATCGGGAAGTAACTGTCCTCTCACCTTGAGTTGGTGGGTCCCGCTAGTAACAAAGAATGAAAAGTGTTCACCTAATATTAGTGAGACATCAGTTAGAGGACCATTGAAAATCAGGGAGAACTGGACAGCTGTTTCATCCTAGCTTGGGAGTCATCTGCCGTACGCGCCCACGGGGGTTCGAACCCAGGACCTTTCGGTTACAAGGCAAGCTCGTATATCATTCAGCCCTATGACCACACTTAATGGCCCATGAGTTCTAACTCCTACGAATTCGTGGTCCAGTACTCCCTGGTTTTCAATAGTTCTCTAACTGATAACAATCTGTGTTCAAACTGTTATAAACAAGTGTAAACCTTACAAACCGAACTCTTGAAAATTAGTGAGACAATCAAATATCTGAATTTACAACTACAGTTCTTGTGAATAAGACGTTTACATGAACAAGAAATTATGTAGTCGAAGTTCAGCGTATGCTTATCCAAACTTTGGCTGAATTAGCATTTCAAAATGTGCTGTAGAGACGTATTCAAGGAGCATTTCCTCTCGTTTGCATCTTTCATTATGAAGTATTCAATGAATAGTTTGTTATGAATAATACTTAAATCTGTATACTTTTATATATTGTGTTTAAATTAGTAAGCTGAAATATATTCTCACTTTCTATTTCTTTTGAAATCTCATTAAACAGTATTTTATTCTCTAATCACTTTGGTTGTGATCAATGAGCTATTTATTGGCGATAAGATCTTTTGGCCTGTTGTACTAGCCTCATCTAATTCTGAGATCAGTTTTATTCAAAATGATTATGATGCAGATAAGACAAAGTGTATTCAGTCATTATTAGTTAATCGGAATCGAATACCGGATAAAGCTTTCAATGCTACCAGTGAAGTACTTGATCCTTCAGGTGCTAGGCGGTATAATGCACATTCGATTCGGTAAGTCTGATATGATTAATATTTATTTATTTAATAGTATAAAAATTAGTTAATCGTTCATTGTTTTGTTTATGCGGAATCTTTTCGTTTTAATCAGTAGGGTTACAGTTAGATAATAAGAGGAGAATAATAATGGTGATAAGACATGTATGTAGTCAAACTTTGACCTAAAGTGGCGCTTATCTGATTCACTGGTAGTAGGAATGCATTCAATATCCATTCATTCATTCAAAAAGGTTATACGTAGATTATTAGTAATGGAGAAGATTTATAGCTCAGGTGGATGATATGGAATAAGTTGTATTCTCTGAGCTGGTTGATTTAATTGCGAAGCCTTCCATCATCCCGCTTCTAGACGACATCTTCAGCGCAGGATTTAGTATGAAATGAACTCATTTAAATTCTCCATGAGTGATGTAATTGTATCTTCTGGCGACCACTGTCGTGACTGGTTGTCAATCTACGTCTCTACTGATCATTTTTATTGACTTAGAATTCGAACTTTCCTGTCATGTGATTTACTTGTTATTAGCTGGTAAATTTGCTCTACAATAACGTGTCTGTTAACTTCTGGCTGATTCACTTGAGTACCAGGCTTCTAGGAATTTTCTAACTGCATTCTCGGTGTTTCCTCTACTTAAAACTTCTACATTATCCCAATCAAATCCGAATCCAAGATCACAAATTGGCTGTTAAATGACATGGTATTATATTATTTCTTATCAATGCATGTGGACACCAATCTGATTGGGATAATGTAGAAGTTTTAAGTAGAGGAAACACCGAGAATGCAGTTAGCAAATTCCTAGAAGCCTGGTACTCAAGTGAATCAGCCAGCAGTTAACAGACACGTTATTGTAGAGCAAATTTACCAGCTAATAAAAAGTAAATCACATGACAGGAAAGTTCGAATTCCAAGTCAATAAAAATTACCAGTAGAGAAGTAGATTGACAACCAGTCACGAGAGCGATTACCAGGAGATACAATTACATCACTCATGGAGAATTTAAATGAGTTCATTTCATACTAAATCCTGCGCTGAAGATGTCGTCTAGAAGCGGGATGACGGAAGCTTCGCAATTAAATCAACCAGCTCAGAGAACACAACTAATTCAACAGATTATCAACATTGTCTGGAAGTATACATGTAAATACTTTATTCACTCAGTGAATAGAGTTTATGGAGATGCGTGAATTAAATTCAACCCATAATGTAAATATCAATCTCCAGCCCATCGATAACGACTGGATGGATGTCCTGAAGCTGTACTAAGAAGTGTGTTGGTCATTGAATTGCGCCATGTTAAGGTCAAGCCGATGTTCATCGAAGGCAGAGTTGTTAGAGTTAAAATCCGCAGGTGGCTGAATGACCAACGAGCTTGGTCACGTAACCTGAAAGTTCCAACGTTCTATTCCTGGTGAGGTCGTGGGTTCGCACTGATGAAGATTCCTAAGTTACGAGGGAACAGCTGTCCACTGCTTTTTGATTTCCAGTAACCTCCAACTGATGTTGATTCGTAATAAAATCTAGAATGAATTTAACTCAAATCGCTACAGAAATAAATATTAACTGTATGTGTTTGGATACCGAAAATGTTCCGTTTTTACAGCCGATATGTCTTCTTGGGTAAGACAGAAAAGGAAATTTCATATATGATGAACAATACTTGATTTATTTGAATTATAAGACCATCGTCGTCTACAAAATTGTGTTATTTTTATTGGTGTGAGGAAGAATCCCACTCGAACTCCTACTTAGAGGTTTAATCCTCAGTAGATTACTTTGAAACTTATTTTCCATACTTAACGAATTAAGTGTTGGTGAAACTGTCTAGGGTGACATTGGATTCGTGGACTACTCTACTATTCATGTAATGGTTGATGTGTACTAATGTGAAGCGAAAATCTTGGTCGTGGTCTATCAGTTGACCCATCTACTAACGAGATCATTTTATTGCAGCCATCATATGTTATGTCCATCTGTTTTGTGAATAAGTGGAGACGCTACTGTCTGTTTAACAACATCAGATCAGCTGCTCACCTACGACTCCTGTTAAATTTGATCATACTGATTTATAACTAAAGGGATTGACAGACCACTGTTGATGTGATGCAGTATGGTTTAAGGTGAAATCAAATACCTAGATCGTAGCAAGTTTTGAACGAGGTCTTTATTCACCTACCATTACATTCTTCATTTGGATTTTGTCACATTTGTACATTTCTACTATTGGCCATAAACTGCCCATCTCAGTTATGTAGTTTCTATCGTTTTGCAATATGCATTTACACATACTCAAATTAACAAACAACACTCGTGAATGGCATAATTTTTTATGAGAAGTGGCAGAATTTACTTTTTAGCTCATTTTTAATATTAAATTCAATTTTTATATCCTGCGTTTTGTTGTTTTTAGGAATGAGAATACAGATTTTGCTTGGTGTCCAGGTAAACGTATTGGTACAGAGTGTGATGAATATATCGAAGTGGATATGGGTGAATTGAATATCATTACTAAGGTTGTTATAAGTGGATTACTTGCTGAGGATGGAGTAAGTAGTTGACTGTTTTTCCTTTCTTCACTGACTTTTTTTACTTGTAATAATTATAACTAACAACTCTAAGAGTTAACTGACTAATAAACAGGTTGTTGTTGGTGAGATTGTCTGAGTTAGTAAAATTGATATTGATGTAATTATATGATGATTGAAGACGGAATGAATAACACTTCAATTACTACCAGAGTTCGAACCATTGGCCTCTAGGTTCCCATTTCTGTCTCTCTAATAAAAAAGCCGTGTGACCCAAAATGCTAACAATAAACAATTATTTCATCTTTCTTTTCGAATTAAGATTCGTAGATTCAGATTTCTTGATAGCTATCTTATTCAAAGGTTGTTTGTTTGAGGTGGTGTCACTGATTTATGACAAGGGTCAGTTAAACACACGATTCGCTAGGTCACACTATAGTAATAGCATCATATCAGCCCTTTGTAACATTTTTCTTGACACGTATAAGAAATATTTTTCAAGTTGATTGACAATGGATTCCCCAGAAGTTTCAACTGGAAGCAACCGAAAACAGTGAGATTTGAACAGATTGAATGTGAAAACAAGTTATTCACTGATGGTACTGGTTAATACTCTTGGGATCTCTCCTATTCTGCTCAAGTAACTGAAGCGTCGCATAGTTATTATGAAGTCTGACAGTCAAAATTCCCATCCTGACTTTGAGACTTGTGATTAATAACTTCTGAGGTCCCAATCTAGGATGTTTATCTTTTTAAAAGTGGTTTTCAAGGTGGTACACGTCCATAACGTCCGTTTCCTCTTCCAGTTGCAAAGCCTTCATATACATTTCAAGCCAAGTGGTCAGATATTTTTTGATGCTTAAACGCCTGAACTTTTGACGGCAATCTGTTATTAATATTAACAGTTTTCTAAAACTAATCATCTAGAAAATGCCTTCCAATGCTTTTCTCTAGTGAGATAAGATTTTGTTATGTTATTGTCATTTGACTAATCGGCTTCCTGAATATATACAAAAAGTGTTTGATGGCTTTGAAGAATGACCCCTATTAATTACAGGAAGGCGATGCAAATGTGCATGTGAGGTAATGGCTTCTTAGGATCAATACTTTGTTAAAAAATTTCATTGGTCATTTCGTAGGACTGGTCAGTAGTAATACAGCCATCCCTCAACTCTAGCTCTCCTTACTACTTATAAACAGACATAAGTAGTATATAGAGAAAGGTCACAATTCTACTAAGAATCTAATCGATAGCAGACGACGAAGAGCAAAACACACGCCCCAATACAGAATTTCTATCACTACTTACAATTGATGAAATCGTTGCAAGATTTGTCATTTTCTCAATGTTCCCTGTAATCCGCCTCAATAAATACTAGTTAGATCTGTCGGCATCAGAGAGAATTTTAATTCTTCGTCATCTGTTAAAAAATACTTTGAATACAAATTTTAAGATGTTTCACAGATGACAAATCATGATGATGATAGCAGTAATAAAATACCACCCGCGAAATTTTCTCATTTACATTTTATGATGTAAGTTTGTTAAGGCGAAGAGAGAAAAAGCAGTACAGAAACAGATGCAAAGTGTGTTCAACGATGCTGTAGGTCTCATTATTTTCCCTTTGTTTTTCAATCATATGTTAGTTGATAGGGTTAGATAGAGGGATGTACATTAGGGTAAGTGTACGTAGGAAGGTGAAAGAGTCGTTAAAATTTGAAGTAGTCTCAAACATATTTCACGCTTTCATTGTGAACAATTTGGTGGAGGACTATAAGAGAAAAATAGAAGGGAAATTGTAAGTGACTCTTGTCGCCGCAAATGGCATACTATCTGTTTTCCGTTCAAAAGATGGTTAATGATGGAAGAAATCAGTTTGTTAATGTTAAATAAATCACTAAAAACTGTTTCCCTTCTCTACTAAGTGGAATAAATAATTTGTTCATAAGATCATATCACAGTTGGACTATAGAAACCCTATGCACTCTTTTTACACACTTTTTATTTGGGAGACACTATTCCTAAACTTGCTAACTTTTGATGATAAAGTCTGTTGACTGTCTGAAACTTTGAAGAAATACAACTCCCCTCAAGACTTTAAATGAATCCTGTTGGTGAATACGAATATATACGAAACGTCAATTGGATAGGGAATCCTACTGATCAACTTTGAAAATTCCAACACTGAACACAACCTACTGCAACGCCATGTCATCTAGGTTGTGTTGTGTGTAGTTACTATTCCCTTGGTTTCTGAACGGAACATACAGCGTGAACAGCACATCGCCATTTCACTCTGTTCTCTGCAGTCCTGTTTTTTAGCTGACTTCAAGATTATGCATAAGCTTTCATTCTCATCTCACACACGATGTTCTCCATGTCATCCTCGAATGTCTTCGACCCGTCGTTATGGATTCTACTCGAAAGTCTATCTTCTGCGACTTTACTCAACGGTTTTCTCAGCATGTGTCCAATTCATCTCCATTTCTTTCTGCATGTTTGTCCGGCATTAGCTTATTGGTTAGTTTGTTGCCAGGGTTCCTTGTTGCTCGGTTATCCTTTTGGTCGGCCATCTGATCTTGAATATCGAGCCAGCGGAGTCGACCATTGGCGACAGACAGTTTGCAGCATTCTTTAGGGATACTTTTCATATCATCTGAATTAGCTGAATCTATATATATCCAACAGCACTCAGCATCAAAAATAAGATCCGGATTTTCAACTCCAATGTGAAGCAGTCAGTGCCACTTGAGACTTGGCCTGCGCGTCATAAAGAGCATCTCAAACAAACTTCAGACCTTCATTAACAGTTTTCTTCGCTCAATGCTCAAGATCAGATGGCCGGCCAGAGAAGATCAGTAACAGGGATCTCTGGCGATGAGCGAACCAACCCAACAGGAACCGATTGTGAAACAAATAGGCAGGAGAAATGGAGATGGATTGGCCATACGATGAGGAAATGAGACATCAAGTGACATCACTAGACAAGCCATTGCTCGAGTGGAACCCGAGAGGGAAACGGCGAGTTGGTCGTCAGTGCAAGAGTGACTTGGAGGAGGTCATGTGAAGAGGAGATGAAAGCATGTGGGCAGACTTGGAGGGGGGTGAGAAAGTTGGCAGAAAACAGAAGGCAATGGAGACGCTTAGCTGAAGCCCTATGTTCCTCTAGGAATTAAAGGATATAATAATATATCCAACTAGATGAGTAAAGTGATAGACTGTTGGGATGTGATCGGTTGTCACCTGTTAGTGCCCAAATGTACTTTTCATTATATGTGTATTTATGTAGTTTCATACTACTTATTTATCGAGTGAACTGGGAATTCTCCTTTTTCCCTTCTTTTCGTTTTCAAACCACAAAAAAAACAATCACATTTTAGGGCAGTCGTTATACTCCATATTTTTATATTCGGTATAAACGGGAACAGAATGAAGAAAACTGGCGAACATATCGACAACTCCGTCCAACTATTGTAAGTCTTCTGGGTTGTGTCATCAATAATTTTGCTTTTTTTGTTGTTGTTGACTCATTATTTTCTTGTCAATCTCTGTCTGTCTTTTGCATATCTGATATATACTGTCTTGCTATACTAAAAGCGATGAAAATTGAAGTTTTTGAATGATAGTATGTTAGTGGTCGTAGAATTCAGGAAAATTTGATGACACCAAAAGATTCTTTTTTATGTGTTGTTTATCTAAGTTATTAATTGTCCGTCATTCACTTTTCTTGTATGTTTATGTATCTTAAGATTGGTCATGAAAACTTGGGAGTACTGTATTTACCAAGTTGGATGTGAGGAGGAATACTTGCCGATGATATTGGTTGACTGGAAGGGGTGTGTGTTCTGTGATAAAGCTCTAGTTGACAGAATTTAGAATTCATGGGCTGGTTGGGTCATGGATGCCTACTGCTGGAAAGTTCCAACCAAGGACGGAACAGCTCTTCAGTACTCTCTTGTTTTCTATTGTTCTCTAATTGAAGTCAGTTTGTGAACAATCTTGAAATCTGTCAAATCCCTGCGAAAAAACACTTGAAAATTATTTTATTTTCGAAGTATAGGTACATGGTGAAGTTAAAAAAAACAATGATCCAAGCAAACAAGAGCATGACGAAATTTCGAGTAGCCAATCAGTATTTTCGTGGGTAACAATGCATTTCTAACGTGGGAATCGAGTTTATTCTTCATACAAAATGCTGTTCAGGATTTACGAAGTAAATTTAACTCGGAGAAAGAGACGTAAATCAAATTCTAACTCTAAATCCTATTTTGTAATTCTGCCTTCTGAGCTTAAAATATAGTTATTTGCATGAATACTTATAGTCTCATGAGAAACTGAGTTTTTCTTACACTGGGTTCAAACCCCCGGTGGGTACGCACCGTTGAAGAGTCCCGAACTTGGACGAGATAACTGTCCAGGTTTGCCAATGATTCTCTAACCGATTTCCTGTAACCAATCTTAATATTCTTTCATTTCATCAAAACATTTTCTCATGAATATACCTTTTTTTTCACCTAAATTACACTAGTTTACTCTGTTCAGTCATTTCAAGGTTATGGAGTAGGTCGTTGATTTGGATCACTACTCTTTTACTTTGCCACGTACATTATACTGCGTTGAAACATTGTAGTTTGAGTGTGACCGAATAAATATGACTTAGTATCATGAAATTGTGTAGAGTAGAGATTTGGTTTAATGATTTCATTGAGATTCCGTTTTCAATCATAAGATTATTTTTCAGTATTCGAAGTTAAAAAAGAAAGATGAAATTACGTGTATGCAGCTCTGTAAATCTCGGTATTTGTAGTACATAGTTTAATATTCTCTCGCTTTGATGGTTTGTCCTCTCAATATATACAACTCTGCAACTCGTTATTTGACTTGGGACGCGACTGCACAGTGATATTAATTCAGGTTATTCTTTTGTTGAACTATAGTAGGTAACGTTCATTTGGGGTAAGCCCGGTAGTCTAAGAACATTAGTTTTTATATAGTTTGGTTTTTAAGGGTAAGATATTTTTTACGAGTTGATCACGGATTGATATCAGTTAGAGAACCATTGAAAACCAGCACTGGGGGACTGGACAGCTGCTGTTTCATCCTAGTTTGGGAATCATCGGCAATACACACCCACTGGGATTCGAACCCAGGACCTTCCGGTTACAACAAGGCAAGCTGGCTCCTATACCATTCAGCCACTGGGACCCGATTCAATGGCCACTGCATGAATTCTAACTTCTACAAATTCGTGATTTAGCGCGACCCCAACTATTGTCGTTGACGGGACATCCATCCTTACACGTGACATCTGGATGGACCCCACTGGTCACGACTTCTCACTAGAACTCCAGGAAACTCCATCCTGTAACAAGTCACTAGCGAGCATCAGATTTATTTTCTATATTTTGGTTTGTAAGAGTTAGATATGTTTTTACGAGTTGAGTTCCAGTGGCTGAATGGTATACAACCTTGCATTGTAACCGGAAGGTCTTGGATTGGAATCCCAGTGGATGCGTACAGCAATGATTCCCACAGAGCTAGGATGAAACAGCAGCTGTCCAGTACCCCAGTGTTGGTTTTTAATGGTTCTCTAACTGATATCAAACCGTGATCAACTCGTAAAAACTAAAAAACATTAGATTTTAGACACGACTTTTCGTTTTCTTCACATTTCTTATTCTAGCTAATCGAATTATGTCTTCCAGAGGGAAGCTACACAGTGTTTTCTTTGATTAGATTGAATGGTACAAGGTGAATTCATTTATCAAGCAAAATGTTAACACGATATTTCTCATCAAATTCGATGAATTCATGACGTCTTATTTAGAGAAAGAATATGAATATGATCGAGTTATATATTGTGACTGGATGTTGTTGTCAGTTGAAGACGCTCTTTTTCCACTTATCAATAACAATGCTTTCCAAAAGGTTTTGTAGAATAATGCGAAAATGTAGACGATTTTTATGCCTATTTAAAGTTGCAGTGATTTACTTAGGTCGTTTCAACTTAAGGAGTGGTGAAGGGTTCGAACTGTTAAATTTTGATAACGAAGATAATCTCTTCAAACATCTTTTTGATTAAATTTCACTCACAGATATTAGAAGTTTCTACGAAGAATTCTATGGATAACTTTGATTACTCTAGACACTTGTGAGGAAATTCACAATCTTGCCTCTTTTTGTACTATAAAATGCATATCACTTAATTTCGTCTAATAATAATAATAATAGATATGGGAGTTATTGTTGAATTATGCAGAAACTTTAAAATAACCGCCGTTGTATCTGTTGACTATTGAATTTCATTTTGAATTTATTATAAGAAAGAGAGAGAGAGGGAGAGAGACGAAATTTGATTTAGTTCTTTCACTTTTTCTTCTGTTCTGTAATTTCATGCATCATTTCACTTACAACATCATTTTGATGATGTAAACATCCTACCTAACTGATAGTGTAATAAAACACACCTAGACAACGGAGAATATCAGGCAGTCAGTTATTCATAATATTGGCATTCTTCTTCTCCTTTTTACAGGTGCAGTTGGGTGTGATTATAATAAGCTAGTCGTGTTAACCAGTCAATTGATTAATTAATTAGTGTAACAACTTCTACTTATTGAACTGTATTATTATGTCAATTTGCGGGTGACTTAGAGCTTTTATTCACTTGTATCCGTATTTCTGATGAAAATGTGTTTTCTCTAAACTACGGGACTAAAGTTTAAAATAAGGGGAGATACTTCCACTTCACTTGTGTAGCTCACTAAAAACTTCTTTTGATCGGTCACCAGGCAGTAATTAATTTCATACGTTAGTCCTTGATTTGGTGTGGAGTGAGTTCTCGCACTCAAGTTTGCAATGTGGTCACCAAGCTGGGTGTCTGAACATTACGCAAAGCACTCTGAATTGATATTCAATAGTTGGAAGCATTTGGTGGTGAGTCTACACCTAGATTTCGTGCTAGTTGGCACTCAACACTCACCAAGGCGCATCTACAATCTTGAAGGAACTCATATCCCTTCTGAGATTCATGTCCCTCTCACCCAGTGCTGCAGTTAGAGACATTACCACTGAGCTATTCGGGCTCACGATTGACCTCCCTTAGGACAGTAAAAATGTTTTTAATTGATAAAAGTTGAGATTCACTGGTAGAGCCCATGGAATTATGATCGTTTATTTTGTCAGCAGTGGAGAGATATGACTTGTCGACTTAAGGAATTTCAGCCAATGGTTCCTGGGTTCAGTGTCACTCCACCTACTTCACCTCTGGCTAATAGCCTGATTCGTGGAAAGTCTGTTCCAGTTGGCTAGATTTTGGCGAAAATATCGTCACTTTTCTCTTGCATTTAACGTACCCAGTTATTTTTATGCCTATATGGTTATAAACAGAGTCATACTGTGAACAGCACTCATTCGTTAGGCGTAGCTGTGTGTGTATATGCCTTCTGATTGTAATTAATTACTGTAATGATATTTCTCTTCTCGATCGTCAAATGTGAGTGTGGTTCATGAATTTCTCTAGTTATTTGAATCTGTTTTCCTCCTCACAGGAGATATTTTAAACGAAGGACGAACTACATGCATGGGATTCTTTATTTTATATATTTGTGTAATTGTATAGTTATTCATTGGAAGTTAATTGATGTATTTTACAATAATTTTATTCATTCAACTTGTAAAACTATTTTATCTTTTCATCTTGTAGACTTCACGTCTTTTGGGTGGTTTAGATGCTTTAGTGCCTAAATTTGTGGTTCTCGATCCACCGTTAATAGCCCGTTGGATTCGTATCTATCCATATCGTGATCCTCCAGGTTTTGTGTGCATTAGACTTGAAGCATACGGTTGTCAATTCTCAGGTAATTAGTTCGTTCCCGAAAAAATATACTTATTGCTTCGTTTATTTTTAAAGTTTTATATGTGTTACTTAATATGTGTGAGTAGTAAAAGTTTGTTGATAAAAGTTTGGCAGCTAACCCAATACTGTTGTTTTCCTATTTTAGATGACTTAGTCGAATACCGTATACCTGAAGGAAGTCTTGCACATCCTCCCTATCAGGCTGAAACGCACTTATATAAAGTTCAAGGATCAGAACTGTTCACAAATGAAAAACAAAATTTTAGTCAAGCTGGCGGCGGTCTTCCATTTTCTGATACATGTTACGATGGCCATAGGATTGAACCAGGTAGTCTGTTAAACGGTGGACTTGGTTGCCTTATTGATTTGAATATTGCCAATCGTGATGCAACTCCATTCATTCAACGAGGTTTGAAAGCCGACAAATCAATGAATCATCAGTTTGTTGGTTGGCATCGAGATCGATGGAGAAGTTCACAGGAGAAAAATAATGATGTTGTTGATATGCTTTTTCGTTTCGCTTCTATACGCAATTTTACAAGACTTCGATTTTATGTATCTAATAATTATATAGAGAAGGTTAGTTGTTAAAAAGATATCATTTTGGATATTTCGTTAAAGTATCCCTTTCATTATAATTGTGACTAATCAATGATGTCATAAATAAAGAGCCAAGCTGTGAGGTCGCAAATACTGGGATCACGATTCCTATTGAAAATTGTAGATGTGTATTAATAGTGAGTGATCATTGGGAAGCAATAACTATCATATATCTAGTCCTAAGTGGCGGCGTATGAATTCTATCAGTGAGTTAGTAATGCGACCACTAATCGAGGAGACTGACCACTATGAAGAACTTTTTGAACTAGTGTTAGGTGTCATCAGTAAATAAAACTGTACCATTGTGCTTTTATAAATGAAATTATTCTATTTCCAAGTGTCGGTTTGCATTTCATGATCGCTAACAAACTGACTTCACTTAGAGAACCGTTGAAGACCAGAAAGTACTAGAGAGTTGTTTCGTCCCTGTTTGGGACTCTTCATCAGTATGCACCCATCGCTTCACCAGGGAATGAACCTTGCCATGTGAGCTCGTTGACCATTCAGCCATTGAGAAAGAATCCAGTGGCCCATGATTTCTAACTTGTGTTAATTCGCTGTATATGGCGTAACTGCCAGCCACTGGCATCGGCGAGTACGTTTCCTTACACCCATCCTGGTGTACCCTACTGGTCAAGACTTCTCATCAGAAGTTCATCCAACTTCATATTGTAGTCAGTCACTAGTAAACAGCAGATTAATTCTCAATGTTTCTTTAACGGAAGTCGGTGTGCAATGAAACTTGAGAATTATTTTGTGATGGAATATCGGAAACGACTTCCTTCAAAGGATGTGTTTATGCCATTCTCAAAAATATATGTCGTACTGCATCGCTCCGGTTAGAGCGATGTCTATAACATGTCACCAATGTTAAAGTAAAATTCAACAAAGCACTTGTGACGCTTATTTATTATCTCTCATTTCACAAATAAGAACTGATCACATTAAATAGCTACTCTCTAAGTTCTGTATGTAATGGATTGTTACCTCTACAATGTGAAGCATAATAGAATCCTATCCTTATGGATTGTTGCGCTAATAGTTTGTGTATGTAACTGCTTTATACGAACTGCTTAACTTCCAGAGAGTGTCATTTAAAAATGATGATTCAATCTGTCTCAAATCGGTTACAGTATTCTATTTAGAAAGACCCATGAAAGAAAGACCCATTTCAAAAATTTCATTTACTGCATCAAAGAATTTTCCGCTAGGCTACACTTATGACATTTAAAATTATAGAACTAACTCAAGGCAATATAAAATAAAATCAAATCCGTTGTTATGATGTTTTCATCGAGCGTCTTATTTAAATTTTCTCAAATATATTACCTAATTTATTTTCCTTTATTATACAGTAATCACAAAGTAAATTATACTGTTTTATATTTCAATGACTACAGGTTCGTATACCCAGAAGACTTGAAGTTAAATTCAGTGTAGGTGGAGTACATTTTTCCGGTCAGTCGCCGATATCACGGGATTTTAAGTTAGAAAATCGTAGTGTAGGTGTATTCAGCATTACTATGGATTTATCTCATCGAATCGGTCAAGTTGTACAGTTGAAAGCATTTTTTGCTGATGACTGGTTACTATTCAGTGAAATACGTTTTGAAAGTGGTAAGCATTACTTGGTTTAAATACCTGCGATTTCAATTTGATTAATTTATTTGGCTTGTATATAAGTCGGAGATTCTTTGCTCCATTGATCTCTGGTGTGGTCATCGTCAAGACTTTCGCTTTTAAGGGTGTTTGTCTAGTGATGATTATCCCATTACGGGCGTTGCTTTCCTAATGTTACTCAAGCTCAGGTGTAAGTAATTGAATTACATTGAAAACACACTGAGTAGTGGAATTGATATCATGCGGTATTCATATGAACTTGAATAGTTCAGAGTTAACTGTGCATTCTAAGGATGAACATATTTTTTCATGCCTATGTGAGCATATCAGCTTGTTACATTTGATAATGTATAAAAACTCCAGTATTCATAATAAGGACACATAACCGCCTATAGTCTATACAGGTATGAGGGGCAACTATGCCTTTTATAAATCACATATGAAATGTTTTGTCTTTTCTGAATTAAGTGAACACAGAATACTCGGTAAGTTAATTTTAGAAATAACATTCAAAAGTCTTCACTGATCAAGTCACTGCAGCAATAGGAGGTAATCATGAGTACGTAGGTGTATTCTAGAAATTCTATCTCTAAAAATAATAGAGAAGATTTGTAGCTCAGGTGGATGATTTGGAATCAGCTGTATTCTCTGAGCTGGTTGATTTAATTGTGAAGCTTTCGTCGTCCTTCTAGACAATATCTTCAGCGCGGGTTTTGGTATAAAATGAACTCATTTAAATTCTCCATGAGTGATGTAATTGTATCTCTTCTGGAAACTGTTGTCGTGACTGGTTGTTAATCTACGTCGCTACTGATCATTTTTATTCACTTGGAATACGAACTTTCCTGTCATGTGGTTCACTTTTAGTTAACTGGTAAATTTGGTCTATAATGCGTTTGTAAGTTACTAATTCACTTGAGTACCAGGCTTCTGGGAATTCCCTGACTGTATTTTTGGTGTCCATAATTATCTACATGTATTGATATGAAAAAATATATATAAATATACATATCAAGTCTTTTTACAGTTAATCTGTGTTTTTGGGTTCTGCTTCGAAGGGAGAGGATGCCCACTTTAACCGATGTAGTGTTTGTCGCTCATTATATGCAATTTATTTTGTAAATGGTATTAATTTTATTATCTTTTCCTGTTGGAATTTTGGCTTGCAGAAAATCGAATTCAATGATTTTGTTGGTTGACTTGTGTGCTATATCTATTTCAAACGGTTTTAATATTCTAGCTGTTATTTCAGAGATGTGCGTCGGTGGCACAGCGGTTAGAACGCTCGCCGACCATGCACATGGTTTGGGTTTCGATCCCCGACCACTGGACGCAGTCTTTTACCTCGCTAAGCCAGAAAAATTCTGGTAAAAAGGAAAGGTTGGGCGTTAGGCTAGCAACCCCATCCTGTAAAATTAAAGACTGCTACAGAAACTTCAAGCCACTAGCTTGAAGCCCTATGTTCCAATGGGAATGTGAAGGAAAAAAAATATTTCAGAGATATTTTTTATATATGCTAGAATGGATTTTCTTGTAGTCTTTGATGATGGTTTCTTGTTGGTGTTATGACCCGATTTTAAACACTTTTTGATGAAATTGTGAGAATACGCATTCCTTGTTTCCTCCAATTTGTTCAACACAAGAGTGAGTGCTACAGTGTGTTTGAAATCTTTTAAAAAATGTCGGATAACACTTTCTTTTGTGGGTAACTGGGTTATTACTACTATAGTTGATTATTTGGTCTGTGTGCGTTGACTTTTTGCATACTTTTGTTTCTAAATTTCCTGTGTTAGTTCTCCCGATTAAGATCTCTAAAAACGGAATTTCATTGTCCAGTTCTTCTTACATCATGAATGGTAGAATGTAATTCCAGATTAGATAAGTTTATTTTAAATATGACACAGTGATACAGTATTAACAACTGGATGACGCTTTGAGCATAAATGATTGTCAATCATAATCATATCAATTTTAGTCACTTGGTTTCACAATTTGTCCTCTATATATTTTCTCTCTTTCTATCTCTCCAACTTCCCTTTGTTGTATGTTGCCACTTTTCATATCTCTGGTATATATGCGTTGTGTCATCCCGATTGCATGTGTGCGTGGTTTTCTTGTTGTTGTCATGCTCTTTGACCTGGGTGATTAACCCTGAAGTTATCGTGTTCACAAGGCTAGTGAAAGTGTCACTATTGAACTGTCCAATTCCTAAGAACACAACAACACCAAAAAGTGACTAATTTAGGAAACACATCGGTAAAAATAAAGGGTCCGTACAAGTTAAGGTGACGTATTTTTTTACAGAAAGAGTCTTTATCCTTTAAACTGTTGACTCAGTTTTTCATATTTCTCATGTTTTATTATTATCGCCGTATAAAATTTACCTCTTGTCCCACCTTTTTTTTATACTTAACATGAGTATTTCATTTCATTTTCAATTCTCTCCTGTAGAAAAGGTGACTACCCCGGTAAAACTTGATGAATCGGCTGTGATACCTGCAAAGTCTTCCAATAATCCAATGAATAATAAAAATAAAGAAGAGGATGTTGTGAATACAGGTAAGAATAAAGACTTGGTTTTATTAACTCTTTTCGTTTGACTGGTGTACTCAAATCTCATTACACACTTGATGTGGATTTTGTGTTAAGTGAAGTACAGTTATTCTCAAAGATTTTCATTTGGTTAAAAATGTCCACTAACATTCTACTATAACGTTTGAAAAAGTCTTCAGTTATTTCATTGTTTCTTCCTTTCCTCATATTTTGCTTAGAAAATGGAGTTAATACAAAAAGGTTCCGCCTCCGTCAAACGATGCTATAGTCGATGACTCACCAACTCGTCTATCCACTGTAGTTATCTTAGTATTAGTTCTATTATGCTGTTTCCTCGGTCTACTAGCTGGTGTTGCATGTTTCTCTGTCACATGGATGCATCGTAAAAGGCATGATTTAGAAAGAGAAAAACATCAAGTACACAAAACTTTGTTAATTCGAGGCGAGGATGGTTTGAATGCTTATACAACAACAGGTTTACGTGGTAATGGAGATGTTGTCGTTGGCAGCGCTGGTGGTGCTTATACAACAATTAGACCAAATATGTATCCATTTCTTTTGTCTGGAGCTAAACCTGATAATGGGGGTAAGATTTTAGCTCTTTCTTTTTCTCCTTTTGTTTGGTAAAGAAAAGTAAACTAATGTGTAATTATAAACAAATAAGATTTGAGGGAACAATTGTTACCAGTGTCTTATTCATTACGCTATGTAGTTACAAAGAAATGAGAGAGAAAGTCAATTCAAAAGGACTAAGTTGAGCAAAAAGGACAGTAACATGGAAAAACTTGGGGGTCTAGTGGATACAGGAAATTAAAAGGAGTGAGTGCCATCAGTCCTCAGTATCCTGAAGACCCCACTCAAGAAGTTTGTACCTCCCTAGATGGCTCAAATCAACTGTCGAAGGCTTCATAAACTGATTTCAGGTTTTTTTTTCAGTCACCCCTTACTACGCTAGTATGCAGTGGCCCCTGAAAGCTTAACTATAGTTATATCAAAAACAATATAATGAATAGAATTGGATATAATTTAAATTAAAATATAGAATGGTAGGCGGTTAATTTTGATAGTGATTTAAGTGCAAGTGGATGCAAAATAGACATCCGAATGAGATATACGGAAATGATGATTAGGTCCCTGTGTTTGTACAATTTATATTTCTGTTTACGATGGGCGACTTTTACTCAGTGGTATAAGAAATAATGTGAGCATAACAATTAAAAATAGGTTTAGCGTAACGTGAATTCAAAGGAAGACAAACAGTAATGGAAATAATGGTATGATATGAACTAGGTGTCAATGTAAAAAGGGAGTAAGAACTGCGAAGAGAAGATTTCTGAGGTGGAGAGAGACATTCTAAGGCATGAAGATTTGAAAGGATTATGGTAAGCCTTAGTAGGCGGTTGATTGCATGAATTGATTCTTATAGCTCTTCAGATATGAATAACAGATATGTTCGCGCACGTTTAGACTAATTGCTCAGTACTCAATGTGTGACCGTAAATGACTTATCTATTTTTATGGGTTATATGATTAGATGGTACTGTTTATTGACCTGGTTTCACCATTTCCAAGCTAAACTGGTAATGCTCACGAGTACATAAGGATAAATTCTTTTAAGTGCGGCCTATATAAATACTCGTATTTCATTTCTATGGGAAAGTGCAAAATTGGGATGCCTGAGTTCCACTCTAATTGGAAATTCAAATTCCCATATCTTTTCTCACTATATGGATCTTATGTGTGATGTATATTTTTTCTTCAAAATCGACACTGTCAACAGAATACTGATTGATTCACATATGACACATGTTGGTATCTCTAACACTTTAGTTCAAAAAGTTCAATTGGATGTTAGTTAGACTTTTAGTGGGGATTATTGTTGTTAACTAACGTCGCATATGTTTCTTACGGTACGTGGATGTTTCTAGCTTGAATTGAACTATATCATTGAATGTGAAAATCCACTGACATAACCGATCAATTCTATTTCAGTTGGTTTGACAGATCACTGTTAGTTCATTTCTCTTGCTTAAAAGGACCAAGAACACCGTAGAAGTGTTTCTTTCTAGTCTGAAGCCCTTCAGTAGTGCACTGTGCTCTTGACATCCTATTGTATCACCTTTAACTGAACACATTACCCTCGAGTTTGTGGTATGACATACCCATCACTTTACTCAAACTTTCTCACTTTTAACTTGACTATTTCTATAACTCACAGTTTTCTTTTAGAGCTTCTGATAAAAGTAACCAGCGCTCTCTATTTATTATAACTTTTGCTAGTATCAACTGTGCTACCAAATGGTGGACTTCAATCTTACCATCAAATGGTTCTATCATCTAATACAAGTGCAGAATCATCACAAAGTTGTTCAAATGACAAAAATCCAAATCAACAACAGCAGCAACACCAAACATCAAAACCAGGCGTTGGTATTATGGTCGATCAGTCGAATACAATTGCTAATCGTCTATCTGATGGTACAACTGGTCCAAGTGATGGGATTACCTCTGAGACTGAAGCCTTCTGTGATAATAAATTCGACGATGAAAATCATCTACATCGTCATGTTCTATACGATCATCACAATCACTATAGTCAACAACAACGTTCATCTCTCCTTTCATCATTGTTGTGTATGTCTAAGATGAGAAGGCGTCGTAAACGATGTTCATCATTTAGGGCGGATAGAAATAAGACAATTTCGAATAATTCTACTACTACTAATACTGCTGCTACAACAGCAAATATACAAGGAAATATCAACTGTAAAGAAATTGAAAATAATACTCACAATAACAATAGTAATCTAGCTCATAAAGAATTCTTTAATGGTGTAAAAGACTTTCCTACAGTCGGACAGTTAGCTAGTAAAAGTCAACCTGGACATGATACAGGATTATGTTCGAATGATTTATTGAATGCCCACATAAGAGGACAGGTAAGTCATTTTGAAAAGCTGAAATGTCTTTTGTTGCCAACATGAATCTGACAGTATATCAGAACTCCGTAATATGCACACTTTTTGGTTTCCAAGATTAGACTGTAGAAAAGACACTGAGAGTTTTGTAAAGTAAATCCCAAGAAAATCCATTCTATTGATTCAATGACTACGACTCCGTTGTGTTGTAGTCTGTAGGTCCTTAGTTCGAGCCCCATATAGGGTAATGAGTGTGTACTACTGAAATGGTTTTACAGATTTTGTCTATTGACGTGTTTGTTGGCATGTCAACTCCTCATACGGACGCTTTGACAGTGTCTCAATGGCCTAGTGGACAACGCTTTGGTATTTAAAATGATGAGGAGAAGGTTTGAATCTCGGTGGGAGTATCAACACTCACTGGGGATGTGCAGGCGCATCCACATTATCAGTCATAAATAGAAGGAAATGCGCAGCACTTGTACCACTGCTAGTCACCATCATTCAAAAGTAACATCTTTTCGTCTATTCTTGAAATCCTCAAATTAGATTGCGGCTATTTATCCTAAGATCATTACCAACATCCTGAATGCAACTGCATTTCTATTGTTGTTCCAGTTAGTCAGGCAAATAGATTACTAGTCTTAAATTGTTTCATAGAAATAAGTGAGAGAGAGAGAGCTTTCTTCCTAAAGGTTAGCAATCTATCAATAAAATATGAGTGACACGATCTTTAACCTGGGTTAATGGGGAATATTTAGTCAACAGCTTACATAGGATACATCGGTCGATAGTATATGATTTGTTCGCCCCTCCAGTACCCATTTTTTGTCTTACTCATAACGATATCTCTGCTTGTCATTAGTAGGGGCACTGTAGTAGAGTTATAGAAAATTATGTAAGATTCTCAACAGGATTATTTAGCGTCATTAATTTCGTAACCATGTTCTCTTTCTAAAAGGTTTTGTTGTTTTCGTTGTACATAGACGGTCAGTTGCATGCATTCTTTTCATTTCTACGTTTACGCTAGACATCTGTGCAGACAGCGAATGGATTACTGCAAATCGACTTATCTCATGGTCATCCATCTATGCTGATTAATGGACAACCTTTGATACGAATTCCAGCCTCATCGAATCCAACAAATATAACAGATAATTCTTGGCTTATTCATCAAACTGGTTACCGTAATAACAATGCAGTGGGTATGAATTTAATGAATACAGAACCGGGTGTCTATACAACAGTCGGTGGCACCGAATCCGATATAGACAGTAATGCTGCTAGTAAGTTACATAGAAAAGTTGCATAGAAATATACAATAATTTTTATTCAATACTATATTCTTTCTTTAAATGTGTTAATACACTGGAGAACGTTTAATGCTAGAATACTTGGAAATCTTATTTTAACACTTTGTATTATAGATGGTTATTATTGTAGCCAGATAGATGTTGTGTATATTGTAGATAAAATCTGAATTGTCCGGACTGTAGTTTGGAGGGGATCGGAATATTCGGATTCTTTTCCTGTTATAATTATTCCCTTGGGTTCCGAATGGATCATGGGGCTTCAATAGCATCCTGTTCCTATTTAGTTGACTCCACGATTGTGCATAATCTTTCCTCTCCTCTATGTCACCTTCGGACTGACGCCTTCCTCGACGTTTCCCATTCGAGAGCCTGGCGATCTCCTCAGTATGTGTCTGATCCATTTCCATTTCTTTCTGCATATTTGTTGACCAATAGGTCCCTGGTTGATTCACTTGCTACAAGAGTCTCCCGTTGGTTATTCTTTCTGGCAATCTGATGTTCATTATGGAGCCAGCAATAGCAGCTGTTAATGAAAGTCTGCATCTGGCTATTGGAAATACTTTTAGTGACACTCAGATTCTCTGAATTATACATCCCCCTTGGAGTCATGAAAAATAGTTTAAAAATATTTGTGTATCACTCTGCTACTTCTATTATTAACTAAAAAGTCGGTAATATATTGGCATCACAAACTCCAGAGTTCAGTGAGTTATTGTCGAAAATTGTTGTATAAACACGAGACCTAATGATGAAATGATTTCTTTTCCTTCACGTTCCCCAGTGGAACATAGGGCTTCAAGCTAACGGCTTGAAGTTTCTGTAGCAGTAATTATTTTTACAGGATTGCGTTTCTAACCTCATGGCCAACCTTTCCTCTTTATCAGCATTATTTATGGCTTGGCCAGGTAGAGGAGTGCGTCCAGTGGCCGGGGATCGAACCCCGGACCATATGCATGGTCAGCGAGCGTCCTAACCGCTATACCACCGACGCGATGAGATGATTGGCTATGGTAATGTTTGTGTGCAGTGAAGTTTTGATACCAGTGGGGTTGGCTTTCTACGGGTTAGACTTAATATCCTCACACCTAACCTTCCCTTATTTTTGGACTTAGATAAGGCAGTGTGCTTTGGTGTATGGAATGTAATTTCACTTACTAGGGGGAAAACTAATTGAATACCGTGTCGTGTGGCTTGATTACTTGGGCTGTTTACGTATAAAGTATAATTATATTTCAATAGTTTCTACACAATGATAAGTTTTGCTCGAAATATTACCAATAACAAAACTTATCATTATGTGTAAACTATTGAAATATAATTATACTTTATTTGATTTAATCCACAATGCTCAAACTTTTTACTGATGTTTACGTATACATCCGTAGATTTATTTGATCCATTCCCCTTTTGTGTGTATTTCAAACTTTTCAAATGAATGAATACAACTTTGAAAGTATATTTAATTTATAAATTATCAGCTTTCGGTTACTAACTCAGCAACTCGAATGATAATGCATACAGTCCTTGTTGAGTAATTTTAGGCGACGTTGGATTAGTCTGGAAAAGAGTTAAGTGTGGTCATATCAAAATCTGGCGTCAGTCCGTGAAGTTGTTGACTGGTAATTTGAGCCAGCCACATAGGGAGGTGTAGACTACTTGGGTGGAGTCATTGAGACTCTAACAATTCAATAGCTGGAGACCGTTGATGACATGCCTCAGAATCGTTATCAATTGTGAGGGCGCATCCACTTCATATGATCTCCAATATCCATTAAGTCCTCATGTTTCTCCATATTACCATCCTTTCTTCCGTACATTTCCATTTGTTATAGTTCTTTAGATTTATTTTTTTTTCTACGTTTTTGTGATGTATGCAATGCGGCAACTTGAATTGCTACACTTCTGTGCAAAGTTCTTTGTTGAAACTAAGTCAATCAATCTACGAAGAGTCTACGAAGTTCACACTTGTGATTAGCTCAAAGTTATATCAAGAAGAAGCAGCAAAGACAGGACTCCGGATGGACATAGACAAGATGGAGGTTATGAAAATAACCAACCAATAACAACAACAACATCCAGCGCCAACCACCATCAATGGGAAGGATTTGAAAGAGGTTACTTCATTCACCACCTATCTAGGGAGCATTGTCTCAACTACAGGAAGTCGGAACGGACGAGGATGTCAAATCGAGCGAGAATCGGGAAGGCGAGAAACACATTCACCAACCTGAATCCAATCTGGAAATCTTCATCACTCAACCAGCATCAACAACAAAATTCGGTAGGATTCTCCATACAAACGTCAAGTCAGTTAGTTCTTCTATACGGATCGGAAACTTGGCGGGAGGGTAACAAAGAATATTTCCAAAAGCCTGTTGCAGACCTTCACATCAACCAACAACTGTCTTCGCTGGATCTATACTGAAGACCAGATGGCCGGGTTGGAAAGAATCACCAACAAGAAACTATGGTTGGGAACAAACAAAACAAGAACCAATTGTTGCCCAACAAATATGCAGGAGAAAGTGGAGACGGATTGGACACCCACTCGCTGAGGAGGCCGCCGCTAGGTGACATCGCGCGCACGTCAGGCCATTGCTCGAGTGGAACCCGAAAGGGAAGCGGCGAGTGGTTCGTCGGTGCAAGGGTAAAATGGAGGAGATCGTGTGAAGAGGAGTTGGAACAGTATGGACTGACATGGATGCAGGTGAAAAGTACAGCAGAAGGAAGACAGAAGCAAGTGGAGACGTGCATTTGAAGCCCTATTTTCCACTAGGAACCCAAGGGAACAATCATAATAATATATCAAGCAATTTTGAAGCATTTCAGTTTTACCTTTATAATGAAAGTGATTTGTGAACTGTTAATACTTTTGTTGCTTTCTTTCTTAATCCTTAAATACAACTAGGTACAATGAGTCCTGAGTATGCATCTGCAAGTATGGTTCATGATTATCCTGGATTAGCTGCTACACTAGCACAATTAAATCAACAAAGACTTGCTGCACTCGCTGCTATGAATAATGTCCAATCCAATTTATATCCTTGTTCTAATCTGTCATCAAGTTCATCGATTAATTTCAATCTATTTACAAATCCACCATTAAATTCTCCATTTGATCATAATCTCAATAGTAATATTGTTGGTCCCAATACATCTACCAATAATGCTACTTCTAACAATAACAGTAACGCTTTTATGAATAACTTTTTAACATCAGTGAATACACTCCAGCATCCATTGTTATTCTCTAATCCACATTCTCTGCATGATATGATGATGTTGACGACAACATCGACAACTGCAGTGCCTACAAATCTGTTGAATGGAGTACAAAGTTCAACTGGTAGCAATATTCTATCGCATAATGGATTTCTTGTTGACACAGACAGCAGCAGTAATTATGGTGCAGTTGATATTGATCAAAATATACTCAAACAACAACAGCAACAACAGAGTCAACAGCAAAATCAACAAATCTATGAAGCCTACAATTTGCCTAGTCCTTCTGCACCGGTTTATTATCCTGCTCATCAACAACATCACCAGATTATGTCATCTGCACCACCATCATCAATGGGACAGTATTTTCCATGCGTTTCATCAACACAACCATTAGTAATATCGTCCATATCACAACAGCCATTGGTGCCGTTATCAGTTACGAAAGTTAGCAATAATAATAATACCAACAATAACAGCAACAACAATATAGCTAATAATTCTACATTGGTGGGAAGGGGGTTCGGTAATAATGAATACAAATCACCGAAACAAGATGATTTAGATATTGGACAGTTGAAACATCGATCAGGTAAGTGAATGTTTTACGATTAATTTCACTACCTTTAGAAATATCACCTTTCCCCACTTATTGACGTTATTAACTAGGACAGTTTTGATCATAAACCAAGATCAGTTAGAAAACGACTGATAACTATGAATTACCTACCCGTGAAGTCACGAGTAAGGGCCTGGCTACAGGCCTTGTCCTTCTGTATTCACATATTCTAAGTGATAAGAAGTGCTTAAAATAGGCTAAAATAGCTAAAACAGGCTTGAATCAGAGTCAACAGAGTGAACGAATGACCTGATGCAGGGTTATTATAATGTGGTTGGCTAACCTTTTGACCTGTGACCTTATGTGACCAATCAGATTAGTTATTTGCTGGCTCATTTTTCCGAGCAGTTTTAATGTATGGATAATCTCACTGGTTTGGACAACTCTGCCTTCTGTTTCCATTTGAGTGGTCTCTCATTTCTAAGGTATCCGATTGACTGAAATGAACTGTCAGACCCCAGTCATACCGACTAGTAGTCCTCGGTAGCCATGTAGAAGTGGTCCAAACATCGTGTACGATCGTTTCGCTCGTTTGGGGCTGAGCTGTATCTTGGCTACTGTTTATGGCATCAAGTATTGTGATCTGAATGTGTTTCCGAAGGAAGCTGTGATTAAATCTCACTTCCTCACACTGTATTGATTGAGAATCATGAATTAATTTGCAAATTACGAATTTGACTTGACCTACCTAGTCAGCGTTTGATTTTTCAGATATCATTGAAATCAGTCCACATTGATAACTTCTTTGAAGTCAAGATTTTACTTGATAGTACATTATTATTATAATTATTATTTTTAAATACACCTTTTTACATTATAGATATGAACAAAACAGATTTCAATAGTAAATCGACATTGACAACAAATTCAAATTATCGAGTTTCTGATCATAATCCATGGATTAAAGCGTCCAATTTGAATCGTTATGATACAGAACAACAACAACAACAGCAGCAACAACCACATCAACACCAAAGGAGGCAGCATGAAAACGTGCTACCGCCAACGCCTTCTAGTCCCCCGCCACCACCCCCACCTCCGCCACCTCAAGCAGCAAAATCAGCACTAAAAAATCATTGATTCTATTGTATGTGTATGTAAATATTGTATGAGAGTTATTCATAATTTTTCCCTTTGCTCTAATCATCAAATGGGGGTTTAGTAGAATTCCATTCAGTCATTTGGATACGCGAACTCGGATTCATGATTCCAGTTTACACATGCACACACACACACACACACAACATCCCTCAATTCATAAAAAATATACATAAATGTACAAAAGGAATTACTTGTGGACAATTGTATACGTATGTAAATAAAATTAATTCAAAGTTATTAAGTAATCTTATGCATAATATGATATACATGCACATGCACGTACATATATATATATATATATATATATGTACACCTTATAGTGTTTTATACAACCCCAGGACTCCTCAGCAATGTGAACCGGTGGTCTCTATGTGACAGTGGGTGTGGGTGTGTCTTGCACAACTAGGCTTATTTTATATAGTTTCAACCTTTAAAGTTGAATCGGTCTTTCGTTCTGTGCACATTGTTCATTTGTATATCACTTGTACTTGTATTGGTGCTGGTGCGCTGCTTATACTACAGCTTCCTTTTTTATTAAAAAAATTTGCTCTTTCTGCGCTATGCTTTTGAAATTCACTAACAAATATTGTAGATTGTAATTTCTCTTCTTGAGCTGATGTTGATGATGATCAGCTGGTTGGTGTTTGCTGGTGAAAACACTGTAAAACTTGTTCGTTTGTTTGTTCACTTTCCAAGCTACTGCTGAAGTATTATTATTATACTAGATTTTGTGTTTGTTTATATATTTTCCAATCACTACAGAAGTTTGATTTGTGTAAATTTTCTTCTGCGATGCTTCTGTGTGTGTGTGCGCGCGCTAAGGAGTAGTAGAGAAGAAGAAGAAGAAGGTGAGTCAGATTCTTCGTTTATTAGTTATTTCTTACACACACGTCTTTTTTACGTAAGGAAAGTTTAGCACAAATGTATCCGTATATTTTGATTGGACATTAGGTTTTAGTCTAGTCCCTTGTTCGGCGCAGACTGAATTCTATCAGCCAAGTTTGTTATGTGGCCCGCCATCGTGATGTACTCTTAATTGTTGTTGTTGCTGTTATTGTTAGATGGTTGGAGGCAATAAGCAGGAAACTTTCGGCTTAGGTTTCGTACTTGTTGCCACTCGTCAGCAAGGCGTATTTGTGTAAACGAATCGAAATCAGATCACTCAATGCTACAGTCAGAGACATAACCACTAAGCTATTCTGGCGCGCGATTTACCTCCTGTAGGAATGTAATGGATAATTTGATTGGTCACTCTAGGTACTGACTAATATGATGCGTCTAGTCATTCGTTTGCAAAAATGACAGATAGAATTCAGTCTACACCAGACGAAGGACTTACAGAAAGATTTGCACATATATGTTTATATATGCTGATTAAAAGTTTGTAGGATTTCATCATGAGGTGACATTAGTTACAGAACCATCGAAAAACCTGGGAGTACTGGACAGCTGTTTCGTTCTAGTTTGGGACTCTTCATACGTACGAACCCACCGACAGGGTTCGAACTCAGCACCTCCTGGTTACAAGGAGAGCTCGTAGACCATTAAGCTACTGGGACCCGATCCAATGGTCTTTGAATCCTAACTTCTGCCAATTCACGACGTAGCGCGACCGCTAGCCAATCTCATAGGTGGAGAGTATTTGTCCTCACACCCGACCTGTTGCACCCTACTGGTCACGACTTCTCCCTAGAACCCCAGGTAACTACCCACCTGAATAGGGCCAGTCACTAGTGAGCATCTCATTGATATTCAAGTGTTGGTTTGTCGGGATTTGATTGGTTACCTAGTGTCAGCTCGTGATGAGATCCTGTAACCAATCAAATCTTTACAAACCAACACTTAAAAGTTTGTAGCAGTATTAGTAATAATCTCGGAAAATTGGTAAATAGCTTAATGGTATTTAGATTTTCTAAGAATTCCTTGTTTTTGTGTGCGTGTAAGGTAGAGTGTGAGGTAGTAGTGAGATAACCATATGATGTAAAATTAGTTTGATTTTTAGACTCTAAAGAGAAACAAAAGGGGATCTTTTCGTAGATTTGAACTGTTTGTCAATTGGTGTTACATTAATCGAATGTAAATTGTTTTCCCCAAATATCCACAAATATATTCATGCCTTACTTTATTATTTTGTTTTAATACCTTTACATAATAATGATAATAACCACTGTCTATTCAAAGTTTTATTCCGTTATGGAGAATATCTGTAACCCAAGTGGATGTTCTTAATATAGTTGCGTTCTCTTAGCTTAAAGATTTCATTATCCTACTGGACAGCATTTTCAGTGCTAATCATCCGACTCAGAGAATTTAACAGCACCAAAGACTGTCACTTGGAATAGGTGTTTTTGGTTTCGATTTCTTGACTATACTAGTCAAAATCAGACACAAGAACCAACATTTATAAATATGAAATGGTGGTTGCATATTGTAGAATAGAATGGCTTACTCCTCAAGTAGGTGAAGCCCATTAAATCTGAATGTTGCAGTATTTTTTAAAGTCACGGACTACAATTTAATATTGTTCCATTGTTTTTTCAGTACACCTCTAATTGGTATCAGTTTGAGATCTAATGCATCTATTGTTCTTTCCAAAGACAAGGGAAATGAAGGATACCCGCCACTATCGAGTAGAAGTTGCTTTCGTGTTTGTATACATCATTGAGTATATTGACATTCACTGTTTTCCATGGCCTATTGAGATGCCTCTTTTTGTTACGTCATCTTTAGGTAGCCAAGTGTTGTCACCAGCTTTCAATCGGTGCCACACAAATACATCCATATGGGGACTCTGATTTATGCGAATGTTTCGTCTTCTTGAAATTCATCTTCAACGGCGAATTGTACTTATTGAAGTGATGGTTTTTAGGGATTTGGTTGACTGGTTACAGGATTTCATCATGAACTGACATTGGTTAGAGAACCATCGAAAAACCTGGGAGTACTGGACATCTGTTTCCTCCGTCCTAGTTTGGGACTCTTCAGCAGTACCCACCGACCGACAGGGTTCGAACCCACGACCTTCTGGTTACAAGGCGAGCGAGCTCGTAGACCATTGAGTCACTGGACCGGTTCAATGGCCCATGATTCTAACTTCTGCCAATTCACGACATAGCGCGACCGCTAGCCAATGCCATAGGTGGCGAGTATTTGTCCTCACACCCGACCTGTTGCACCCTACTGGTCACGACTTCTCACTAGAACCCCAGGTAACTGCCCACATGAATAGGTAAGTCACACCCCGGTAGGTGCGTACTGATGAAGAGTCCCCAAAAGTAGGACGAAACAACTGTCCAGTATTCCCAGGTTTTCCAATGGTTCTCTAACGAATTGTATTTCTTTTAAATGACATAACAGGATCTCCGTAGAATACTGCTCTGTTTCTGTGAAATACGTTTAAAACACACACACATACACTCTGCACTGGTAGGTCGAGTATGTGTGTAGGACATCGAGTGTTCGTATTGTCCTGAATACACTTCGAGAACCGAAAAAAAATAAATATATATATATATATATGACCGTATTTTCTAACTGATGTGAGACTTCTGCAGTGAAATGACTTTACACTATTTCTTGTAGCAAATGTTTGTCTTTTCACACTTTCTTTAATTTTATATTGACGTTCAGTTTTCTTTAAATTATATTTTGTCTTCGTCTTTTATAGGGTTTAATCCTCAGTATTCCTAAACTCCAGTGTATGTGCTCAAAAGCCCTACTGCCGTATGTATACCGGATTACTATTTCCTGGCGTCTGTGTGTATAGTTATTATTACTACCATTATTATTATTATTGATTCTCCGCGCTGATTAGTTCAATGTCATCATCATTTTTGACAAAGTTGTGTCTTCCTCGTTGTATCTTCTACCTCGTGACTGATTACTTCGCTCACATTACTGTTCGTTCATGCTCCTGTTTTTTTGTGTGTGTGTGTGTGTTGTAAATCCACTCGTATTGATGCATCCATAAAGGATTCGAGTTATGCTTTGAAACCTGGTACACAATATATTCAAAATCATAAAATTGTTCATGTTCAAATTGTGTTCATTTTCGCCTTTCTCTTCATCCTTCTTCTTTTTTGTTGTTGTTGTTGTCGTCGTCGTTTGTACTGCTACACTGTTTTCGTCTTTTCCTACTTTTCTCCCTTTTGTCTTCTATACTAATAATTTGCTTATGCATATAAAAAAAACACAAATAAACTAGAGATATTAACAGTAAATTTCAGATACATATCTTAATCAGATATTATACATACTCTATATTATCGCCTCTCTATACATACATTTACACAGACATATATATACACTAATACTTCTCTCATAGGCAGGCATACTGCATATATTACATATGATTATTAACTTGTACAAGTCAATCGATGTTTGCTTTGAGAGGTAGAAATAATAACAAGACGACAATTAACACACTAATTCCCTTTGCTCTGTGTTCATAAAAGAAAACCTGTATACATTATACATATTTATTGAATAAATATTTGGTATATTCCATCAGTATATGACAATAATATATGTACACGATGGAATTATATATCTGGACAGGGCTCTTTTCGCATGATTATTTTGTTTTTGTTTTGTTTCATGTCTTTTTTTCTAAGAAGAATGAAAAGAGAAATTTTAAAAGTATCTGTGTGTGTGTGTGTAATACTTGCTGCTTTTATTTGAGAGTAGTAGATTAGTGTTAATCTGGTTGGGTTTATCTATTTATTATATAATGGAAGAGATAATTTATAACTAAGGCGTATTATTGATTTTTGCTTTATCTCTTATTGTGCTGTAGCATTGAACTTAA